AGCTGTCTGCTCCCTTCTACTTCCCATACTCTACCAGCAGTCTGCTACACTCCTTCACCATACTCCTGGACGCCAATGGTTCGCTGGTGGACGCTGCTACAAATTATGAACGCAGCATTAGTCCCGACCGTAAACTGTGCCACCTAGTGATTTGATAGGGAAATGTTGCCTTGTCAAGAAATTTCAAGGGGAAAATTCTGCCTTCAAACTCAACAATACAGGAAAATTATAGTTCCTGTAAGACGCGAACTACCTAATAGCTTACTTATTACCGAAAATCCCACATCTTTCTCCGGAACTTCCCAAGAAACTTTCGTTTTTTTCCGAAAAATTTTGCAGTCGAGCGGATAGGGGAGGAGGGCTCTCATTTTCTAGTGAACAATTATGCTCAAAGTCTCAGAACCTTTCTTGCCATCCCATGCGCTCCATTTGGCTTTGCCTTTCAGATCGAACATGCCAGGTTTGTCGGTGTTGTTGTCACCGACTGTCCCCTGTTTGAACAACGCATACAGCTCCAACAGCTGATCATTCGATGGTGACGCCTTCAGCGATTTCACCTTGGTGGCAGCTTCATCGAACTGTAAGTAGTATAGAATAAATGGACAGTGCAACATGCAATGTGATGTGTAAATCTGTAATGATCCTACCGACATAGACATCTTCCTTGCCTAAGAGTGGAGAATAAGCTCTGAAAAACGTGCACATCAAAGGAGAAATGAGAAATGCAAACATACGAAGCGAAACATGTGAATGACTGTAGACGCTTGAAGAATTAGAGTGGATGCATGCGATTCAACGAGATGGCTCTCTCTTCATGAGTGGGTGGGACGGGTACGTAACGGTAGGACCATGCGGCGTCGCGCGCGACAATTGCAAACACCCTATGGTTAGGTCATCGCGCGCTCGTGATGGGTTTGTTATCGCGACAGTGGCATTTCGCCGCCTATTTTTCAACAGGACAGTCCGTAGTATCTCAAAAAAACGACAATAAGTTCAGTCTTTAAGAGTGTTTCAAAAAGCATTGTGAATGTCAAACGATCAGGGATAAGCAGGTAAGCTAAGTTAACTAGCGAGCAGAATCCGAGTAGGTTTCTCTGCACCATAATTGCTATGTAGTCACTCTACTTATGCAAATAAAATAAAATCTCACGGTCATGACAATCCAGGTCCTACCAGAGTGAAGAGCGTGGATGAAAACTAAAGCGAACATAACCTATTTCAATATCGCAACGACCTCCACTGCGAGCCCGCGGTGTTTGCAGATTGCCGCGCACGCGACGTCGCGTGGTCCTGAAGACCACGTCTCCCAGGTAAGACCCATAGTAAGACCCACAATTTTAAAGGTACATGAACAAATAAATGGAGACAGACAACCAGCATGCTTTCATTTTTGAGGCACTTTCACTTTTGAGTCTGTAAAGAGAAGGGACGCTGATGAGGTAGTTTTTATGTCCGCCCACGCATTTAGCGTAGAATGGGTATTTGTTTGGTATTCGTATCGGAAGGGTAAAACAGGACTGACATATTTATCGCTGGAATAGAATGAATTGCGCACCGGTCTTTGGACTACTGTGCAGACCTTCCGACGTCCTTACGTTCTTTTCCCGAGTAAAGAAGAAAAAGAAAGTGCAGCTGCTTATCACACAAATACGGACCCATTAGACTTATTCTATCATCGTGCAGTCGAAGAATCCTCTCACGAAATTGCTTTCCCTGCACGGAAACTGGTTGAAAAAGAGGACAAATGTTTCAATGAAACATCAGAAAAATAACAATGAAGATTTATCCCCACAAATAAAATTTACCCAATAATATAATATCAACAAAAAATGAAGCTTCTGAATTAGGTATAATTATTCTACGAAGAAAGTCTAACCGAAGAGTTAATAATGAATGTTTGACTGCGACTGGATTTCGACCTGGAGAATGCAAACAGGAGAACCATGAAATGACATTCGAACATAACGAAATTGGAGACGAAAGGTGAAATGGTGGATCCCTGCCATGCATGGTCAACTTACGTACACCGAAATGGGTGACCTAGTTCTCGCAGACATAAAAAAATAAATTTTACCAAAAGCATGACCAGATCAGATCAACAAGTGAACTTTTTGTCCTCTATATTAAGAAATACAGGGGGGAAACGGCCAAAGCGGGAAAGCCCGCATTCGAGAGTCATCTCCTCCGTAGAACTGGGAAGCAATGCATAGGGTGAGGATCCCAAGAGTTATGAAGGAGGAACTCCGGGTGGAGCTGAAGTTCTTTGACCAATAGAGGATTTGCGATACTATATCCTGGTTCTGCAGAAGGAGGCTCACGATGCCTCTCTCGAAAGCGACTTGTCCCCGAGGCCTACGTGCAAGCCTTTGAGCCGGCTAAGTGACTGGCAAAACTCATTGATTATTGTTGTTTGGACGAAAACTGGAAGGTCAAAGTGGGCATGCGGCGAGTAATCGTTGCGCTATGAGACGCAATAAGTGACTGTTATCAATGTCTGGTGAGAGCGGCGGCCAAAACTCTTATCAATGACTACACATAGCGAATGGACTCTAATTGGCTCTGCAATACTCAGAACTGCGCCTCTGTCGATAGATAGATAGCTGATGCAAAAGGTGAAAGCTTGCATGGAGCAGTTCGGAGAAATGGTCCGCGATGACCTACTAAAATGCAAAAGATTGTGTGGGAAGGGTTATGTGGTCTGAAATTTACAACCTTCTGCCACTATAGCGGCGGAAATTTGTAAGGTAAAGGAGTCAAGACATAAAGTTGCCCCAGTGATACCTCCCTTTTTTTTAGTGACTCCGCCTCCGCATTTCTCCTTCCAAGCCCACCTTCCAGCTAAAAGCGGCGCTGCCGGTTAAGCTGCACGAAATATATGCTCCATTGTCACTTGTGGGGTCATAGGGATCTTCACAAGGAACCAGCCGACTGGATTCATCGAAACATGCGGTCCTGTGAACTTTTACCCGAACAACTGCTTGTGGCTGGAAGAGTTTTATCGAAAGAGTCCGAAGTTCCCTTGGCAGTTTCTCTTTATCGCACAGCGTGCCTTCATATGAAAAGCTCTTCGAATTGAAGGAACACATAGTCTTCTTTGTTGGACTAACAAAAGCCAAGATACCGCTCACTCTGATATACTCGTAGCAGTACTATAGCCTACATCTGCAGTACTCGCTATGGTATATACTGTAATATAATGCTATAATACGATACTATAATAACAACGGGGTTTAGCGGATACCGGACTCGCCCGGGAAGCGTGTGGCGCTAGTCCGGAACCGCCTGAGGTCCAGACTTCTGGCTATAACTCAACTTTTGCCACGACTTTCCGAAGCAAACTGCGGCGATAACCTGCAGCGATCATAAGGAAACCAGTTCTATTATTATAGTGTTATGACAAGCTGACCGTCGCTAGGGTTACTGTCTATTAATTTTTCAGTGATGGAAATAGCGGCTGCAAGACGACACATTTTTTCTCTGTTACGACCCACTGCAACCCCTCCAACGTCATCTGAACGCAAATGAGGAACTAACATTCGGCTCAGTTCGGCGACGAGGGAGGAGGGGGGAGGGGCATTTAGCACTCTTGCCACTTCGACCGACTTCCTGTCGAGCCATCTAGAGAGCTCTTTGATGAGCTTGCAGGGGTTGACAGCTTTACCACGGTGGCTCGACGACGAGCTTGCTCCAGCTTCACAAGGGTTCACAGGTTTCACCAGAGTGAGACTTGTAAACCGGAACTAGTGAAGCAGCGAAAGTGCAAAATGCCCCCCCCCGTCGCCGAACAGAGCACTTTCTGTTAACTTCCAAATAGAGCAGGCGAGTTGACAAGTAACTGTAAAGGGGGCACGGACTGGGAACCGGAGGGGGGGGGTACAACTAATGCATGTCAAACGGCATGAACAAGAAAAAAAATTTCAATTATCCAAAAGATCTCCACCCCTCCCTGAGAGCCATCCACAGTGATTATGCGCACACCTGCTGTCTGATAATGTGAAAATTCACTTCTAGGGGCGAAAACCACGAGAAGGCAGGAGAGCCTAGTTGGCTGCACATTAAAGGATGAAAGGAGTTTGTGCAGTAATCATTGTTTGTCTGCATGGTCATTACACTCACATCACTACATCGCTTTGTGACATGGGAATCCAACTCAGAACGAAGTGAGGTATTAAAAGGATAAGAATGAAGCTTCCGAGGTCAAACAATCCTTCCTAAAATGCGAAATCCTTTCTAGTTCCTTTCAGAATCGTAATGGCTCATTGAATGCAATGTGGTCTACACAGTGATTTGCAGGGACAAACCGATGTGTAAATCAGTTTTCTTACCCTCCCAAATGATCTGACGCCTCAGTGTTCTTACCCTCCCGAATGATCTGATGCCATTGCGAATAGAAGGTTTGGTTGTCCTGAGCGGCAGCCGAGTCAGGATCTGATCCGCCAATAGTGCGCGCGGTAAACGGCCTTTTGCCACTTCGCCTCACAAGGAAATGTCAGTGTCATCAATTATAAAATTATCAATGAGTAAAAATAAGAC